TCTTGTATTATCTTGGGTGTTGATTGGGGGGGTGCTTCCTCATTCATTCTTCACCATACGAAGCTCTTAGTGAGGGAATAGGAGGTCTGGAAACAGCTCACACATACAGCAAGTCGGAGCAAGCAATAGGGAAGCAAACCCAACCCAAAAAAATCTAGGTTCTTGAGGTAAGAACACAACTCTTACTCATTAACTAGTTTTGTGTTGTATGATTTTTAAGAAATCATATGATGGATATATATGAAGTTCTACACGTTTAAAAGTGTAGAATATTGTTATAAAGTGGTGGTATTTAACTTAGAAGAGTCGTGGAATCGATAGGAGTTGAAATCGCCGGAAACCGCCAAAGGAAGGAGGCTGTCCGCGGTAGCAGACCACGAACATCGCCCGGCTTTCACGAAAGCCACCCGGCTTTCACCTTCTGTCCATATTTTTCACTCTTGAACGGCCTAGAACGAGGACGGATCGAGGGGTTTCGCTAAGGCAGTTAGTTGAGCACATCACAAGGTGAGGATGGCTGACTATATTGCTTATAATCCTTGGGTTAATTTCATAAGATTACCTAAGTTAATTAAATGTGATTTTCATGGATTATTAATGATTAATAATGCCTAAATGAAAATATTGTTGGTTATGAATAGAAGATGCATAATATACAAATTTATGAGTAAATGGTGTATAGTTATGCATTATGAGTATGATGATATGATGATTGTATAAACCGTGAATTTTGTGATGAAATATACTTTTACTTCATGTATAGAAATCATGAATGGATAAAAGTGATATTTTTGATATTGAGATTAAATCATATACGGATTGGGAAATTCATAGGAATGAATCTTATAACTATGAATTAAAAAGCTTGGTGGCTTAAAGATTAATGGATTAGTATTGAATTTACTAGTCGGAAATGTTAGTATGAAAAGTGATAGAACAAATCCTAAGGGCTTGGATTGGGAAAGATGCACCTTAAGTAGTCATATGAGATGTCTTAAGGTAGGAATGGATAACCACTAAGTTACATTAGGAGTAGGCCTCATAGGCTACTCATAATAGAAAAACTCTAGGCATAGAATTTTCTTAGTGAACTAGTATCGTGACTAGAGGAAGCCTCTAGCACGATGAAGAATGACTGGAGGAAACCTCCAGCATTCATGTAGGACGAATAGAGGAAGCCTCTAGCGTAATGTAGGATGACTAGAGAAAGCCTCCAGCATAACGTAATGTGACTGGAGGAAGCCTCCAGCACAACGTATGTAAGGTGATTAGAGGAAGCCTCTAACACCAAATAGAGTGACTAGAGTAAGCCTCTAGCACGACAAAACATGACTAGAGGAAGCCTCTAGCATGGTGAACTAATATAGATGGGCGTGGCTTGAAGTCACGGGGAAAGGGTTGAAAGTTTTCAAAGTAAACATGGGTCTTCGGGCCGACTACTTGACTTTATGTATAAAGTAAGTATATTTTCAAGGAGGGTAACCACGGGTTATGACCTATAATATAATATCACTCTATTTGAGGGTCTTGGAAATTGAAACATTGATTATACTTAGTATAGTTGTCATTGTACTTGTCAAATGCTTCTAAGAACTGACCTCCCCTTCACGGGGGAGGCCACCTCACAGTTTCAGGTAGAACTTGAAGGTTGCTACCATCACCGTTGCTCGGGAGAATCCAAGGAGAGGAGACGTGGTTCGTGCTTCCTCCGTATCTGTTTTCAAAACAATTATATTTAATGCTCATGGATAATATTTTTCTTTGAATAATTATTTGGGGGCTTGTATGCCCGTGTTTGCCGAAGTGTGGCATAAACACTTGTGTTAAATGTTTCCGCTGCTTAATTAAATATTTTACATTATGATTGTTTATGGATGTACTATTGTGAATGGTATTCAAGACGCCTAGTATGGTATGTATGAGTTGGACTGTGGTTGACTATTTGTACTGTACGGCGGGTTGTTGACGTGTCCGGTAGGTCCGTGGGGTGACACTTTTCTCATGATTCATTGGATCCGGCCTGTATAACCATCGGTGCCTGAGCCCACAACCACTATCCCCCTTTCTAGAGTAGACCCCTGCAAGTTTCCACCACAGGCCATTTATTTTATCCACCTTTATTACCGAACCCACTATATGTCTGCAACCACGATCCGAATTCCTTCAATAGTGTTGAATTTGGAAGACCCAAAATTTGAGGACAAAACCTATCATCATGGCCACTAAGCCCACAAGCGAAACAAAAGTTGGGGAGTTTTTCATATTTCAAATTTAACTATAGGCAATCCTCATTTGACTTTTGAACCTTCAAGTCTTTCTGAAGCGATTACCTTATATCAAGACAAACTTTGACCCTCAAATAAGCCCTCCACTTCCCCTCATGTTGGTGATCATCCAGCTTAACAAAACTTCCAAGTTTATTACCAATAATTTTAGCAACTCCTAAAGTCAAATACCCAACTAGTAAAGTATGCACTTGAACCCAAAAGTCTAAAAAGTGTAAAGAAACTTTTAAAGGTAGATCATCGGGATTTAATCCATGCAGCATAACAAGATTTTAATCGTAAAGCCACATACCATATTCTAAAATACGCCTCATATCAATCTCATGATAAAAAAAACAAATACTAGTAGATCTTATCACCAATATCTTTAATTGCAACATCCTTGCTTGATCTTCAAATAGAGGTCATTGTGTTGTTAAACGGAATGAACTTGAATTGACCGCCTTTTTGGACAGAATAGGCCCTACGTACCAAGGACCACTTAGGCAACCCTCCTTCTCGTTGCAATACTAGGTTAACCGCATCGCCATCTTCCTCCTCTACTTGCAGCATTACATTCATAATTAAGATCGACCATACCTTGTTGGGCATCCATACAGTGGTGTATCTAGGAAATTTAGCGAGTGGGGGCAAATTAAACTTGACTACAATTTAGTCTCATATTTCACAAATAACAAATCACATTATTAATATTGTTTGATAAAATTTAGTTTATAATATCTATGTACAAGTATGAATAAAAAGAAGATTAATTTATATTACGGGTGTGTAACGATGTAATTGCAAATTAAATGTAATAAAATTACCTAAATATAAGTTAAACATAACAAAATTTAGTGAATTTTTTAGCCTTTCATTCTTTTAATATTAAAGAAAACACTTTTAATCCTATTTTAGAATTTTTTTTCTACATTTAACCCTTATTTTGAGCAATTTCTTGTAAAAATTTGAACATATATAAGGGTTGGGTTGGGGTTGAGTGGGGGCAGTTGCCCCTGCTGCATGGATAGGCTAATACATCCATACCATCTAAAAACAAAGATTGACTGACTAAAATACCACTGTCAGAGTTGTCCCAACGAAAAGCAATAGAAAACACTCCAAAACAGTGAACAAATCAGTCAAGCAATCCCAACGAAATCAACACAAAACAACAACACAATGCTATCCTTCAGCCAATAAACAAAAACAATGATTAAAATATTTAATCTTTAGTGTCATGATAACTTAAATTATCAAAATGCATTTAAGTTACTTTGATTCCATTATTACTTTAATCACTAGTTATATTTTTGTAAAGAATGTTTATTTTAATTTAGTCATAAATATGCCATGTAAATATTTCCTTAAAAACTCAGCAAGGACGATAGAGAGCTGATCCCTTCAGTCGCACGAAGATTCTGCGAGAGGGGAGAAAAAATCCACACGAGGCAATCAACGGTCCTAAAACCCTACGCCATGAGGGAAACAGACTTCTTTGTACTCAATTCAGGCTTAAAGTTAAAATCAGTTACTATATACGTAGTATTTAGAATGTTTATATAAAAAATATAATTAGATAGAATATTTTTAATTAGAATGTCTGGTAATTTATAACTGTCGAATTTTGACTTAGTCTAATCTAATATGATCTAATCTGGTATGTTCAAGCGTGATCTAGTCTGGTCCGATCTAAAACTGATATTAATCTAATTAAAAAATTATTGAATTGTATTGATTGACCTTCAACAACAATTTTAGAACAACGTATCAAACTATGGGTCGAGACTATTGGGGAGGCTTTGACACGAACCCAGTCCATTAATACTATTGCTTTACCCGCCAAGACAATGGTAGATGTCTATTGGCCGTCACCACCACCCGAGTGGGATGCTCTTAAAATCCGTGACAAATCCATGGGTTTTTAATGTTCCCTCAATAAAGAAGCAGATCTAAAGACTAATCAAAATTGATTTTTGAAGGATATGAGGATAATTTGTGGAAGCATTTCCCAACACGGAAATCCTTCTACTACGTATAAAATAATGGAAAGCTTTCCTAATTAGGAATAAAAATGTTTTTACATTCCAAAATAGGTGTCATGTTTTTATCACCGAAATATGAGTAATTACTCTCATTCTTTGCAATATCAGACCAGACTTGAAACATGACAATATTTTCCAAATATAAGTAATTACTCCTATTTAATGAATAAAAATGTGACAATCCAGTTTTGAAGTTTTCAAAAGTTTTTATTCCTATTTCATAAATTTTCCCTAAAATAATCAAATTAAATAGGCTTTAATTCAAAAATATTACTAAAATAAAACTTATTCATACAAATATGATTAATAGTTACTACTTATTTAAGTTACAATAACACTATAATATAGTGTCATTGTAACTTAAATATAAAAATTGAACATAAGTTATTACGTAGTATGATTTTATTACTACTTTATCACTAGTCACATTTTTTTAAACAATCTTTAAAATATTTTAAATAATGATTATATATATAAGTAAAAATTTAAAATATAGTATCTAAAATATTGCCCGTATCATTACTCAATTTACTCGCAACTCACCCATTGCCGATTAGTTAAAGCGGAAAACAAAAAAGAAAATCAATCACCATTAAAACGATTAATTAATAATATGACCCACTAATCGGTGTATTTAATGTAATATACTAAAATTAGAGCTATGCCGCAGCTAATATTTTCGGAAACCCTAACTCTTATCATCCCCACTAGTATAACCGGATCCAGGGCATATATATACATATATATACAGACCCAACTCTCATATACAGCCTCGAACATAATTTTTTTTGTTTAAGCTTTCATTTACAACCGAGAATGGTAAGCCTTGATCTCTCATTCTCTCTTCCTTGTTATACGTTATTGGAATGCATGGCTATTTCATACGAAATTATGGGTAAATCGTGTCAAATTCGTGTCAATCCCGTAATTTTTTCGTAGTGACTTCTGATGAATATATCGTTGAATTGATCAATTTGTTATTTTAACTTGTACGTTACGTTAGGCGGACGGTGAAGTGAATAATGTGACGGCGGAGGCGGCGATGAGGCAGTCGAAGAAGAGGACGTTCAAGAAGTTCAGCTACAAAGGTGTGGATCTCGACAACCTTCTCGACATGCCCACTGATCAACTCGTTACCCTCTTCCCTGCCCGCCCTCGCAGAAGGTTATTCATTCATATATTCAACCCCATTCTAGGGTTTATATATTCACTATCATATCGTTCTGATTATGATATGTCATATGTATATATGTATATATATTCACAATTCATTGCTTTGTTATATGATTAGGTTTAAGAGAGGCTTGACGAGGAAGCAACTCGCTTTGATTAAGAAGCTCCGGAAAGCGGTATGGATTTAGTTTTCTTTAATTTTAATAAGAACCCTAATTTTTGTCTTTGTTTTGATACACTTTTACTCGATTAATTGCATGTTTCAGTGTTTAACGACTTAATCGTTGAGGAAATTTTCTAAGGGGTTACGTATGTTACTAAAATGCTTAATGAAAAGAATGATCAATCGTAATATGAATTAGGGTCCGCCTCCCATATAAATACAAGCTACTCAGAGATCTTTTAGTTATGGAATAGCATTCTAGTATATCGTGAATAGATACCAACGTAAAATGGAAGGGAAACTAATTAAAATAATAGAAATAAATAACATAATATTCTTCCGTTTAACAGATAGCAATTGAAGTTTTTATCTAGGACCAAGTGATAAAGGTTGTTTTTTATTTTAAAAAGAAGCCTGATTTAAGTCTTTTTTTTTACACACGTTTACTCACTCTTCAATTGCGAAGTGCTTAATCATAGAGGGCAAACTTTTCCGAATAGGAGTAATCACGTTTTATTTCCAAATAGAACTGATGTACTCTTATTTAGGAAAATTCTTTTTCTTTTATTCTTAAGGTAGGACCAAGTAATGAGGATATTTTTAATTGGACTATGATTTTCCGGTTTTGGCTAGTCTGGTTTGATTTAATCTGTTTAAGTTTGGTCTATTCTATTCTGGTCTAGTTAACTCTGATCTGGCAAATCTTGATTTTATATGTATTTTACAACTGTCAATGTGTGGTCTGGACTGTTTAAGTTTGGTCTGATCTTGAATGGAAACCAGTCCAACTAAAAAGATCTTGAATGTGTGGTCTGGACTATGTGTGGTCTGGACTGTTTAAGTTTTGGGAAGAAATTAAAATGTACTAACATCCATTTTAGAAATTTCTATGTTTTACTAGTATTTTGAGCAATTCCTATTAATCACAAATGTTAAAGTTGAACGTGGATTTAATATTATGTCAATTGTTATGTATTTTGAATGATTCCAGGGTGGTAAAGATAGTAGTGAAAATACATTTGTTTGTTTTTTGGTGCAGAAACTTGAGGCTCAACCAGGCGAGAAGCCGGCTCCGGTGAAGACTCACATTAGGAACTTGATAATTGTACCGGAGATGATCGGAAGTGTGGTCGGAGTCTACAATGGAAAAACATTCAACCAGATTGAGGTGAAGCCGGAGATGATTGGGCACTATTTGGCTGAGTTCTCGATTACGTACAAGCCTGTAAGCCATGGCCGCCCTGGCTTTGGTGCTACTCACTCTTCAAGGTTCATCCCACTTAAGTAAATCACCCACTTCAAATCCCATGCATCATCCAAGTGTGGGTCCCTTTCTAGTTACGTGGCATTTTATTTTAGTTAGTATAATAATATGCATGCATGCATATGTTAAGAAATTTATCTAGCAGCTTGGTTGAATTTGTCTAGAGAGGGTTCTATTTATTGTAGATTTTAAATGTATGTATTTTTCAAGACTTCATCACGCTATTGAGCTAGATGGAATTTGTTTCATTGGTTTGCGTTAACTCATTATTGCCCAAACCTATTTACTGCGTACTAACTCCTTTCCACTGAAGTTTGTGGAATTGACGTTGGATGTGAAATTAGAATAATAAAAAATGTGTGATTGAGGTTGCTGTAGATGAGAAAAAATAAAAAGTGACACAAATTCATTGGTTTAAAATTAAAGCACAGTGGCTAAAATTTTTTTAGACAAACAAAAAAAAAGAATGTTGAAAAAGTCCAGCAAGACGGAAGGAGTATATATACTCCGTATGGTAATTATTGGACCATAGCCTAGGCTGCATCAGGACTAGCCGGGTTTTTTAAATTAGGACTGGGTTTATGGGGCTGGGCTAAAGTAGAAACTGAGACAGGTATGGGCCAGGTTCTTTGAATCCAGTTTTGGTCCCAATTTTTTATTGCACTACAATTAGGTGTGGGCAAAAAGTAACGTAACCAATTAACTGTATCAGAAAAATGAAAATTCGACATATTTTTCGGTCAACCGTATCGGATGTTTTAAAACTTGTGATATGGTTAACCAACCGCAAAAGAAAAAAGTTACATGGTATGGTTATGGTTGAAATTATGTTAATTATGGTTAACCGGCAACTAGATTTGGAGAAAAATGACAAAATGATTTGTAAAATATACGATGTGCTACCCTAGCCTCCAATGTATTAGCGGACCGTATACATTTAATTTTTGTATAATATAGTTGTTGTCCTCTAGTTTATGGAAACTAAAGATTTGTACTTTATTATTTAGGAATACTCTAGAACCTAGATGGTTTGTTATAAAGCATAAAGCCGTCTTCTCACCTTAATGAAGCTTATGAAGTTCTAGCTTTCCCGATTGAGCTCCGGCGAAACTCCGGCAAACTTCAACGAACTCCAGTGACCCTTTCAACTCCGTGAAAGTTCTTGAAATACCCTATACAAGTTAATATCAAGGTTCATCATAAAACCCATATCAACATAAATATCCTCTAAAAGGTTATTTTCCGGCGAACTCGTCACTTTGGCCTCTAAGTCTGTTCTTGAACATAGAACTACCTTTCAACCCCCATTCTACACTTTTAAATGTGTAGAACAATACTAAGGGTATGAAATATGATTAAAGAGAAAAAATGGTACTAATGGAGTCATTACCTTGCTAACCACGAGTTTTCCCCTTCTTAACCCCTCTCTTTTCTCCACCACTTTGCTTTCTCCTTCCTCCCTTGTTTTTGTACGAAAATGACTGAAGGAATGGAGTAGTTTCAGAGCTTATTACTCTCTGGATGATGAGTGAGTCGAGTGGGTGAGATGTAAGGGTGATGGAAATTTCCCTTTTGGCTTATTAGCAATAATATGAGGGGAGAGTCCCCTTTTCCTTTTCCTTTTGTCTCCCAATCAAATCATGATCATTTCCTATCTCCTTGTGCGGCTCTCCTCTTCTTTTGCAGGACTAAAATGTGGGGTGGCCCACACATATGTGGGAGGTCATCCCTTTGTGTCCCCAAGTGTACACTTGGTCCCGAAAGTTGTATTTTTCGGACTGTTTTAATTAAATTGCATTTTATTAGGTCAAATGAAATATCTATCATTCTTCCAATTATTATTGGCTATTAGAATGAATGTATATTCCCCAACTTTTAATTTAGTGGTTTCCATAATTTATTATGGCTTTTATCTGTTAGTACTCCGGTACCGATAAATGGGCTTTATATGCACAACTGGCCAACTCACATGGTTTCTATGGCCCAACGTGGATATCCACCATCATATAAATATTATCTAGACATAGATGAGTATAATATGTGCTCTTGAGGATATCGGGTGGCCCCCACTTCTGGTGCGGGCCCCACGTGAATTTTACTATTCACGTAAAAGAAATGAAAAAAATTTACAATCACGTAAGATGAATTTACTCATTTCTCATGGTTCAATACATAATATGATAAAGTACACATACTTGGAGGCGGTGTTACATATTTGGCCTTTTATGTAAGTTCGAGGGCCTATTTGACCATTTTCTCACATATTTATACCATATTTATAAATAAAAAGATAATAGTATAAATATATGTGTACCATATTTATAAATAAAAAGATAATAGTATAAACATATTTATACCATTACCATCTTCTATTATACAAAAGCAAGAGAAAAATTGTACAGTGTTCCCGCCCAAACACAGTACAGTAACGGGTCGGGTCGGGTTACAATGGGTGCAGTAACGGGTCAATATCGGGGTTAGGTCGGGTCTTCAAAGTATTGCTGCAGATCTGTCTTTTTTGGTCAATTATTGTTGGCTGATATGACTTTTTTGTGGCTCAATAAAGACCCGTCAGTCAATATGACCATAAAAGCTGCTGTGTAATTCAAAGTAGGAAACTGATATGTGGGCCCGTACATGTTTCCATAGTTTTTATAAAAGATGTCAGAGTTTTTATCGGTACACGTTTCCAGCATATATGCATAGTAGAAAAATAAAAAAAAAGCTTTACGGCCACAATCAAGTCCTGTCAGGATGCTTTAAGAGCATGCGCACACAATATCAATAAAATCTACAAAATATGTTAAAATGTGTAATAAAATACAACCCATTAATTGTGGCCAGCTCTGGCGAGCCTGTTCATTGGGGCATGCGTATTTCAAGCCAATCAAAAATCGACAGCCTCTTCTTTAGAGCATGTGTATTTTCTTTATTAAAATCATCACTTCACTATAAATACTATTATTTCCCAAAGAATTCTGCACTCAATTCTTCACTCTCTTCATTCTCAACCTGCAAAACAAAAGAGTATCACCCCAACATGCGCATATATGTTCATATTCCATACAAGCAGTTCCCCTCTCTTAAAGAGAAATGAAATGAAAAATAGTTGAACTGATAATAGTAGAAAGCCAATAGGATTACAACTCGAGGGAGCATAAGCAGAAGAGGTAGAGAGGCCAAAGCATCTTGATGTTTCTTGACACCTATCTTCTTCAAGTAGAAAGAACTACAAAGAAGCAGCCACCATATACAGCAATGATGCAGCATTGCAGCTAATGCAAAACCGGAGGATAATAAGCTCATTTATGCATATTCCCAATTCCCAATGCTCTTAACAAACTAAAAGAAATGTCAATGTCGAACCTGAATATGTTCAAGAACCAAATATAAGTGTCAATCTTGACACTAAATTTGATCTGGAATCAAGTTCAAGTTTGAATTTTCGAGCTGATATATTTTTGTAATAGCACCTTCGAGAAAGTAGTGATGTGGGTTTCTTAAGAACATGTTTTTTCCATTTGTGAACTTTGACTTTGAATTGGAGATGTTTGGCATATGATTTTGAGACATGAATCTGAAATAAATATTATGAGAAAGTATTTTGAAGTTAAGTGATATGTGAGTAACCTATGAACTAGATGTTCATAATGATAATTGTGTAATCTGTGAACTACATGTTCATAATGGCAAGTGGAGTAATATATGAACTATATTATTGGTGTGGTGATAGATGCTATTCTTGGAAAGTGTTGTATTGAATCTTTTGCCAAAAATTGTAATCAATGATTTCTGAATACTTGGAGCACCTAGGAGTAATCTGTGGTGTTCGGATCTACATCCGGTTAAATGTGGGACTGTGGTCTAGGGTAGTGCTACTATTATCTGGTGGATGGCTTCTTTGGTGGTTTTGGATACTTGCATATTATTATTGGCTTCAGCTTTTTTGGTAGTAGTAGCACCTATTCCACTTTTATCTTTTTTGGGATAAGGGTCAGATAGGGCCTCGAACTCGAAAAAAAATGTCAAATAAGGTCATATTTCGGATGCTCTGTCTGGCCGACGCCATTTGGGGCGGTTCCCGATGGAATTTTTTGATGATATTTTTTGAGCATCTTCCTCATTAAGTCTAGTTTACCCATACCAAATTTCAGCTAAAAATTCAACCGGGAAGGTAGTCAAATAATTTTCCGAAATGTACGGCGTTGTTTAACTTCACAGTTATCTTCAAAAACTCATTTGACTACCTTCCCGGTTGAGTTTTTAGCTGAAATTTGGTATGGGTAAACTAGACTTAATGAGGAAGATGCTCAAAAAATTTTATCAAAAAATTCCATCGGGAACCGCCCCAAATGGCGTCGGCCAGACAGAGCATCCGAAATATGACCTTATTTGACATTTTTTTCGAGTTCGAGGCCCTATCTGACCCTTATCCCATCTTTTTTGGGTAGTCGGTAGAGACTTAGTCGGTCTCAACTACTTGGACTTCTTACTGCTCGGAGGACTTGGAATCCCACTTTTATCTTTTTTGGGTAGTCGGTAGAGACTTAGCTGGTCTCAACTACTTGGACTTCTTACTGCTCGGAGGACTTGGAATCCCTTTTAGAGGGTGTGCACACTTAAGGTAGAAGTTCACTTTCTAATTGGTGGTATGGGTGGGGTCCGGGTTTATCGGGCACTTCATAGGTGACCTCAGTAGCTTGTGCAACCGTCCAGGACACCTAAGGTTATGTGTGGTAGTTGGTGACCACGTATTCGATTGGTTCGGGTTCTCTTTTTTGGGAGCTCCCCTATCTTTAAAAGAATTTACAAACAATTAGGGGATATGTGTTTCGGTGGGTGAGTATCATGTGTGTTTTTGAAAAGAAGTAGTTAAACTTGGATTTGTGTGAAAACATCTTTCTTAATTAATCTATTTTAGTTATTGAAAACATTTGGTTATACGGTTATACCTCACCGATTTTATAAATATTCATATCTTTGAAGACTTGTATCCTTGGGATGTTGTATCTTTGGAAGTTATATTTTGGTGTGATATATTCTTGGAAATCTATTTTTGGAAAATTATTCTTTTGGAAGATGATATTTTGGAATGTGATTTGTGGAACGTGAAATTTTGGAATGTATTACTTTGGAATGTGGTGTTGGGATAGTGATATTAAACTTCTTGTTGAGATGTGAATTGTTTTAAGAAATATGATTTCAATTGTAAGTGTGTACTCGAATTATGGATATTTTATGGAATTATAAATGTTATTTTAA